TACATGTGGAAACTGAAGGATTACTTGATTAAAGGGGAAAAAAATAGGAGAAGATATAGAGAACTAATAGAAGAATTCTTCACTCTCAACACTGAAAGTGAGACCCCGATAGAGATAATTTGGGATGCATCGAAGGCGTATGTTAGAGGATTTCTTATAGAACACGCTGCTAGAATCAATAAATGGAAAAGAGAAGAACAAGGAAAGCTCAAGAAAGAGCTAGAAGGAAAGGAAAAGATAGCGAAATTAAACCCAGACAATAAAAAGTTACAATATCAAGCCTCCATTCTGAGGAAAAAGTTAACAACCTTACAGTTAGACGAAATGGAAAAAAAGCTGAGATATGCCAGACAAGATTATTTTGAAAACGCGAACAAAATAAGCAAATGGTTGGCAAGGAAGTTAGCAATAAAGAGGCATTCCAGAATTATTACACAAATTGAAGAAAAAGGTAAAATCTTTAATCAAACACCAGATATAATAGAACAATTTACAGAATTCTACAGAAAATGTACGCGGACGATAACATACCCAAAGAAAAAGTCATGCAGTTTCTTGGCCAACAAAAGATAACAAAGATAACAGAGGCCCAAAGGGAGATATTAAATAAAAAGATATCGAGAGAAGAGATAGTGAAAGTAATCCAAAATTTACCACAGAACAAAGCGCCAGGACCAGATGGCTTTACTGGCAGCTATTATAAAGTCTTTGTAGAGCAGTTGAGCACACCACTACTAAAAACAATGAATAAAGTCATGGAAGAAGGAAAGATCCCAGAGACCTGGAGACACGCAAATATAACTCTGATATCGAAAGAGAATGCAGATAAGACCAAAACCAAAAACTATAGACCGATATCCCTTTTGAACCAGGACTACAAAATATTCACCAACATATTAGGAAACAGACTGAAGCTAATCTTAAGTGAAAGAATAGAAGAAGAACAGAAAGGTTTCCTACCCAAACGCCAGCTGAAAGAGAACATACGGGTAATAATAGACGCTATAGAATACTACGAGAAAAGAATACAAAAAGAAGTAGCATTCTTATTTTTGGACGCAGAAAAGGCGTTTGATAACGTCAACTGGTTCCTGTTTAAAGAAACGCTTAAAGAAATGGATATCGGTCACAGCTTTATGAACGCGATAGACTCACTATACTCTGAACAATATGCCAGGCTGTTAATAAATGGTCAAAAATCAGAGACAATCAGAATTGAAAAAGGAACAAGGCAGGGATGTCCACTTTCCCCCTTGATATTCATTCTCACTTTAGAGCTACTCCTATGTAACATCAGAAGAAATGAAGAACTGAAAGGCTTGCGAATTGGGAAGTACACATTTAAGATCCGAGCGTATGCCGACGACCTCGTATGTATTATAGAAGACCCAATAAACACCATAGATAAATGGTGGCAAGAAATAAACCGATATGGGGAAGTGGCAGGCCTTAAAATTAATAAGGAAAAAACTCAAATGCTTACCAAAAACATGACGAAAAAGGAAGAGGAAGAACTACAGGAAAAAACATCGATCAAAATGACAAAGAGAGTGAAATATCTAGGGATTATAATAACAACAAAGAATATAAATTTATATAAAAACAACTATGAACAGAAATGGATTAAAATTAAAGACAAAATGAGGAGATGGGAGACATTAAATCTCTCCCTGATGGGAAGAATCGCGGCGATTCAAATGAACATCCTGCCAGACATACTCCATCTTTTTCAATCAATACCAATAATCAAAACTAAGTCGACCTTTAATATATGGAATAAAGACCTTATGAAATTCATCTGGAGAGGAGGTAGGCACAGAATTAACTTCATAAACATGTGTGACAGCAAAAAAAGAGGGGGTATGGCCCTACCAAACCTACAGTTATATCATGACTCAGCCGCTATTTGCTGGATAAAGGATTGGATAGAAGTAAAGGAGGAAAAATTGGTGGCCCTCGAAAGTTTCGACCTAATGCAGGGATGGCACAACTACCTCTGGAGAGGGAAAACAAAAGGAGAAAGTAACTTCAGAAACCATTTTGTCAGGGATCCCCTCATCCAAGTATGGGAAAGATATAAAGCAAAACTTTACCAGAAAACACCGCTTTGGTTCTCCCCCAACGAGGCCAGCCAAATCAAAGGAGCAGCAAGAGAAATGTGGTTAACATACAAAGAAATATTAAAAATCTCACCCCAAGGGTTTCTAATTAAGTCCCAAGAAGAACTAAGACGTCTGGACCCCACACTCTCCTGGTACCAGTACCATCAAATAAGAGAAAGTTATAACAAAGACAAACTGATAGGCTTCCAAAAAGAAGACACGATATGTGAGAAAATCCTAAAGACAGATAAAAAACATATCAAGAAAGTATACCAGCAATTGTTGATGTGGGAAACGGAAAAAGAACAAATAAAGGCTAACATGGTCAGGTGGGCCAAGGATATAGGCCGCTCCATCAAACTGGAAGAATGGGAGGAAGTATGGACAAAAACCCTAAAACTCACCTACTCTAATGAAATCAAGGAAAACTGGTATAAGGTTTTCTATAGGTGGTATTTGACACCGGAGCAGATAGCCAAGTTCAGCAAGGGAAAGATAGAAGGGAAATGTTGGAAGTGTCAGGGAGCCAATGGAGACTATATGCATATGTGGTGGGGATGCAAGAGAATTAAAATCTTCTGGCGTCAGATTTGTGCAGAGATAGGAAAAATTCTACAAAGAAAAATTAAACTAAAGCCAGAGTATTTTTTATTGGGAATCACGGACTTTAAGCTGGAAAAAAATGAAAACAAAATTCTATTTTACCTCTCCACAGCCGCCCGAATTAAAATAGCGCAACATTGGAAATCGAAGGAGATACCGACGAAGGAAGAATGGATTTTAAAAACATATGACATAATGAATATGGACTTGCTGACAAACAAACTCTCGAGCAACCTAGACAAAACCAAGAACACGGACTGGGACGGTTTCCTGACCTACCTGAAAAACACAAAGAACTGAAAGAAAAGAAGAGGAAACACTGTCTACTAAACAAAAATAAGAAGAAGAAAACAAGACATATTTATCTAATCTTCACAGACACTTACGGAAGCTTCTGCCCCTACCCTGCAGCCTACCCCCCCCCCCACAATATCCCACCCCCACCCCCTAACTTTCCTATACGAAATTATGCAGTGAAAGGACAATGAAGTTAAAACGAATGAATGTATACCGACCCCCCCCTCCCTGTATGCTTGAATGGAACCCCCCTTCCCTAGATTCCCACACCCCATACCCTATCCCCTCCCCTTTTTTGATCCCTATTGCCTTTTTTTAAATCTTTGTATTTGAAAACTTAATAAAAACATTAATAAAAAAAAGAATTCATAATATAGATTTGGTCCTGAAACAGCTTTTGGTTCTCATATAAAAAGTTCTCAAGCTATCAGCCTTGTTAGATCTTTCTCTTAGCCCTTCAACTATTATGACTTCAATTGTTGTCAAGCTGAAGTCATAATCAGCCTCACCAGTGCTTTTGGAAAAGCACACAGTGGTCAAACACAAAGAAACCACTTAATTGTACGCTCCTTCTCCCTGTAGTATGCTAAGCAAGATACAATCCCATATTTTTTTGACTGTGGCTCCAAGAACATCAAGTTAGAATTCCAGTTCCAAATAGTGCGTTGATGTTAATGCTTACATAAAATTGTGGCAAAGTCAATATAACATAAGAAGAGTCATGTTGGCTTGTTAAATCCAGCATCTTGTTTCTTACATTGGTCAAGAAGCAAGATGTGGGTACAATAGCACCCTCTAATTCATATTCCCCTGCATCCAGTACTCAGAGGCATATGCCCCATCCTAACTGGCAACCATTGGTAGTCTTTTTCTTCATATGATTGTTCAAGACATCAGCAGTAAAGCCATTAGAGTTAATGGTCAAAGCAGCTATACTACACCAAAAAAGTCCTGAAGGATACAAGGATTTCTAAAACTTTTCATTTGAAATAAGCTGTAACTTCAGCCACACCAGAGACAAAAACCATAATGAAGCACCTGCTGTAAATTATATTCATGATGTGTGCAAACTGCTTGAAATGCTAAGAAAAGCACAAGATGAATGCTAAGAATGATTACTTTGCTTAGCCCAGCAGTCAATTGTGGCTGAAAATTACTAAGAAAGTAAAACACAAAAAAACAATACTAGCTGTTAGTAATGCGTGGTGAGTTATAACAGGTGTAGAACATCTGTTAGCATTCCTTTTGAAAATGCAAAAAGCAATGAGAGGGTAGGGGATCACTTTATCTGCGCAAAGAGCTGGGTGAAATAGTTAAGAGTTTGGTTCAAATCACAGATGATGTGCATTTCAACTTATTTCTAGGCTCCAAAAATCCCATCCAATAAGCCTCACAATCCTCACTTTGTAAAGAACAAGGAGAAAATTCCCAAGGTCCATTAAATATACACCTCATTGCTTCCTAGTGAAGGAAGTCTATAGGAGGTATTTTACTTAATGGATCCTGGCATCTGGGATGGGAATAATTTGAATATTAGATTATACAACTTTAGCTCATAAGAATATGCATAACCTAAACATCTCGCTGATGAATCCGAAACGCTTTCTGGGATTTTCTAGGGCAGTGTTTCTCAACCTGTGGATCCTCAGATGTGTTGGCCTTCAACTCCCAGAAATCCTAACAGCTGGTAACACACCTGGGAACCCATGGGTTGAGAACCACTGTCTAGGGAAATTCTGCTTTTGATATTTTTTTCCTTTGGTGTTTTCTCCATTGTGTGTCAAGTCCTGGACAGAACCATCAAGGATTTCAGGAGACCAAATGTTGACACAGAAACAACACTGAAATTATTCAGATGATCTGAGGATAAACACTCTTACATCTACACATTTCTCATATTTAATTCTAAAGCTGATGCTGATGTAGAAGAACCATATTAACCCGCATGGATTATTTTGAGAAAGCTGTGTGGGCTTGGCTAGTGTAGGCAGGTGTTATTATTATTCTGAGATGGGTTACAGTGAAAAACCATCAGTTTCCAAGACTTCAAGAAAACACAAGAGGAGTAGATCTAATCAAGCTTCAGTTGGATCAGGAAAACAGTCCTCAATGACTTCCAAGGCTGCCCTGTCAACCAAAACCTCTCGAAACTCTGTCTCTGTTTCAGCCTTTTCCTCTGTTTTGGGTTCTGATTCTACCTTGACTCCAGTTGAAGGATTCAGCTCAATCTTCGACTCTTGCTTACAACCTTCACCAGCCTCAGCACCTTTTCAGGAACAAATTAGGAAAGTATATACAATTTATTACACAGCATTTTTTCTCCACCTTTGCCCACCTATTAACTTAATGTAGAGATTGGCACATTCATAGAAAGTCTTAACATGTTGCAGTAACCCTTAGTAAGCTCAAAATCTAATCAATTTCTCCCAATGTTTGTGGGAAGGGGTTTAAATTTTCTATTGTCATTACATTAGTCATTGCCAACAAGGTACGAAATTATAGGATTGATGGAGGAAATGGTATATTATAATTTAGTCAATACTATTGCCCAGAAGCTCCATATTTTGATGTTGGCATCTGCAATTACTCTTTGAGGGATTTAAATACCCTCCCCAGCCTGGCACTTTCTAAATATGTACAAATCCCACAATTCAATGGCCTTAGATCAATGACATTCTTTATTAACAGGCCCTTCTTTAAAAACATTGCATCTAACAACCTGCATGACTGGCATTTTGCCACCAATCTGCTACAAGAAGAAGATGGTATGAGTGGTAGTCCAGCAGTGCCAAATGGGTTCAGCACCACTATGCCATGCAGACTCCATACAGCCACCAGGTTGGCTCAGTTTGGGACAGTGTGCACATCCGCCAGGTGCCTACGGAATACCCTATTTCAGATTAGCTCCAAGGTATGTGGTCCATGTAGATGGGCCCTTTGATAGTTTGAGAATGGCAAAAAAGAAACCCTGAAAAATTCCACTCGAAAGTGTCGGAAAAGTATGTTACACATTATATCAAAACCGGGAAGAGAAAAAAATCAAAAACATTTGAAAAATGTTTAGTATGTATTTCTTAAATCTCAAGAAACCCTGATGAGAATAATCCTTGACTGATGAGAAGCTTCACAGGTGGAATGTTTAGCTGCAATGAACTGCATTATATGAGTCTACACTGATCACATAATGCAATTAAAACACAGTTTTCTGTGCTCAAAATAATATTTCTATGGAGGAAACAGCATTTTTGCAACATAGGTGTTTTCTGTGCATAAATTGCTGTGTTCAGTGTACAAAATACTGTTTTCAGCACAAAAATAATGCCTGCAAATTTTGCACCAAATAAGTCCTGAACTGTCAACAGTTATCAAAAGTTGCACAGTTTTCAAAGATTCCTATCTACCTCTCAGTGACTTGATTCTTAGAAGTACTGGATTTATGACTTTTGAAGAAACTGCTCCTGCAACTCATTGAACTCTGTTCTGTTTTTCTGCTTTCTTTACTCTGGACTGTTTGATACAGCTACCTCCTGCTTCCTCAGCTCCTGATGGGCACTTTGGATTCTGGACCAGTGTTGAGAGCAGGATATGTGTTACAAGCAGCAGCATCCCTCTGGACTCTAACACTTTCTGTGTGGCTATCTGGGTAGAGTGCATTCATTATAGAAAAATGTCAAGAAAATGCTCAGCCAATGGACCCATGGTAGTGGAGAAACTCGGCACAATGTGACCAGTCCATGTTGTAGGTTACTCTACTGTGTAGAGCAGCTGCTGCACAAAACTGCCTCAAGCAAACTTTATGGCATCTGCAACAAATTCACTGACCTCCAAATCAAAGGATGTGTCAGTTTTGCTGCCATCCTCCTTCTCCACATCACTGTGGAATCTGGGAAAACTGTTTTGAGATAGACCTACACAAGTCTCACCTCCTCATCACAAAGGGTTAAAATCAGTGACATATGCCTGTTTAGCCCAAGTCACCCACAAAGCCTGCCTAATCCCATCAAGTGTCCCTGGCAGGGCTCTGTGGGTGCAGTAAGGTAGAGCAGAAACATAGGAGGCTTCCTGTGTTGCCATTGGAATCCATGGAGGGAAGCCACAAGATCGACACTTCCCCACATGTTATCGCCCTTTTCTGGAGCCGGGCAATGTGGGGCGTGGAGCACACATCCCAACAACATGGAAAAACTTTGGCAGCCAGGTGATAAGGTTGTTTTTTTACATATAATAAGAGCTGCATTGTTCTACATACCAGGATTGGCTGTGTTGTCACCAAGGGCACTTGCAGGTTCACAGTGTTCTCCATTAGGTGAACTCTTTTGCCCTTCACTGGATATGGCTGCCAGGGTTATCCCTTCATCTTTCTCGTCCTCTGTAGGAAAACATGACAAGAGCTTGGGAGGGACAAATCCAGTTAGGACTGGTAACACACATATCAGTGGAGTGGTAAAGCCATTCCAGGTTCTTGCTAGCATAAAATGAGCTCTCTAATGTGTTGAATTTATTAGAGAAAGTCTTTTAAGCCTGAATTAAAACCTGGAATGAATTTCCTGTCCTACTGGCATATTTATTTATTTACTTACTTACTATATTTGCATACTATATTTCTCAGCCCTTGGGCGACTCAGGGCAGTTTACAATGGCAACGATTTAATGCCCAAAAACACCATAAAACATTTAAAAACATTAACACATAATATAAAACCATAACAAGAATACTAAAACCATGCATATCCGCCCTGGGTCCTTCTGGGGAGATAGGGTGGAATATAAATAATAAAACTTATTATCATCATCATCATCATCATCATCATCATCATCATTATTGGAACCACTAGTTTCCACTGTGCGGATCATATGTAGCTTTCCGTTCTTAATACGGCTCCCAAATTTTTAGGTCTTTGTCCAACTTACTTAAATTTGTATCTGGCCGCTTGAAGTTGACATAGCCTACAACAACAGTGCTTCTCAAACTCTGCTCCTTGAGGTGTTTTGAGCTTCTGCTCCTAGAAATCCCAACCAGTTTACCAGCTGTTAGGAATTATGGGAGTTAATGTCCAAAACATCAAGAGGAGCAGAGTTTAAGAAATGCTGGCCTACAAGATACAGTACATAATTTGATAGATGTCTCTTTCAAAGTGTGTGAAGCTTCAGAATGCAAAATAAAATGTATGTTCCTGGTCTGAATTCGGATTCATTCAATACAGTAAGTAAATTTTCAGAATCTGGGACAAAGACATGATTGCAAATAAAGATCAAAACTTTACCCTGGCCAATTGCAAAATGCGGCTGATGTAACTGCAAAATGTCCACTTTGAGTACCAGACGTACAAAAATATAAACCAGAGAGAAGCTTAGGTTCTTTAATAATCACTTTTATAAAGACACAATGGAGGCTGTAA